ACTGATCACATATTAAAGACGATGATATTTCATCTGCTAGATATAAAGGGAAGTTTGGTAAAATGACACAAATTAATTATGTAATTAATAGAATGACTTATATTTTTTTAAAAAAAAATATTAGAATGTTTTTATTTTCAAAATTTCTCTTGCCCATAGTTATTCCAAAAAAACATTACCAAAATGCTCATAGAATTTGATTGTTGATAGATTTATCTAAAAAAATAAAATCTATCGAATTATAATTCTATTTATAAAATATGTTTAGAAAAAAAATCTACCATTAAAGTGGTGTCAGACTTTATTAGTAAGGTCAGATTTATTTTAATGATAGAATTAATTTTCTGATTTGAAGAAAAATAATTTGTAGGGATATGAGGTATCTTATCATTTTTTTTTCATTGTAATGAATTTATATTTATTAGTTAACATAGATGGATTACTAGAAATCTCATAGTACACTAATAGTATTGGAATTTTCAGTTCTCATTGTCAAACCAGTATTGGTTTCGTTTATATATATTTTCAATTTTGAAACCAAAAGATCTAATTGTAAAAACTGAAAAATAAAAATTGAAAAACTGAATCAACTCTCGACCACCACCTTCCAAGTTTGGAAAATATAATGTGGAGCTAAATTTCGCACATAAATCCAGCTCTTTTAAATTCTATCGAGAATAGGTAGTTTACAAGTTACAACAGACAGCTGTAAAAGTTGATGTTCTTACAAATTAATGCTTCATATTACTAAAATTTAAATAAAACAATCACAAATTGTTTTCACTGGAACAAAAATTATCCATTATGAACTTGTTCATCTCGCATTGTTTTTTTTTTTAAGTTTGTTTCCTTCTTTTATAGCATCTTCGTGATAGCAATTTGGATATTTAATGACATCAACTAAATATTATGTATAAATCAATTTGAAATAAGAAAAAGCTTAGCTACCATTTAAATGTAAGGTTGTTGTCACTGTCTGATATAAAAAAAATCGTGGTCTCGCATTGGAGACTGGCGGGACTTGGGGCTCGTGAATACAAGTAAAACGTCGCCCTCCTGATGGCTTTGTATACATTTAACAGTCTAACAGATGTACTCCTCAATCTGATATTTAATAGTATGGTCATCGACCGACGGTATCTTTTTTTCTTTAATATATGTGAATTTGTTAGAAATAGTTTTGGCCGTAGAAGTTTAACTGAAAATAATCACATGTTTATCTCGATTTCTTGTCATCTCTATATATCAGTTCCACTTCAAATCTTTCTTTATAAACGACAACTAAAAACCCTATTGTTCTTTTGTTTGATGATCAGTTAAGAGTCTGAAACTGACTGAGAATTAGTTTAAGTGTTTGTGAATATCATAGTTTAAGAAACTTGTACTCTCTTCGTTTTATTTTAAGTTTATGTACACAAATTAAGAAATCATTTAATTTCAAAATAAAAATATAATTACCTATACATACATATTTCAACCAAAAGAATAGAAAAGTAGACAAAACTAATAAATTCTGCATTGAAATTATAAAACGACATTTTTATTTTAAAACAGATGGAGTATTTATTTCAGGATAATCTAAAATGCATTTGTAGTTGTATATTAGTTTAGAAATATTATTTTTATACTTCCATTTCTGTATAGAACTATATATCTTATAACTTATTTTGTCATGAGGGTTAAGAATTACTTCCATGAAAATTATTTCAGTAACCTAAGTAACATACGTTCCCTTCGCAGACATAAATAATTACTTTGCTATCATCATCGATTTATCGCTTTTGTTTCATATTGATTTTTCAAATCAAATACATTGACTTTTATTCTTATGAATAAGACATCTCGAAAAATAACTACGATTCATCAGTTAAATTAAACATTATCGATCACTAATAATGTACTTTTGTCGATTTGTTTATTGATATACCAATTTAATCAACATCCCTTTAAAACTAAACATTATCTCAGATGGCATTAAGTAACTGTTCCATTCACAGAGATCAATCTTGTCCAAGTTAGGGCCATGCGTCGTCTTCTAGGTGTTTTGGCGTTGATGTGAGGCCGTAATATAAGCTATTTAATAATTAAGAAGCCAACTAATATAATATCCACACAAGCCAATGAACTTTAGACACTCAAATAATGAAGTAGAGGAGACAATCAGAAGAAGATGAAACATTCAGTTGAATTGAACATGTTTTGCTTCTTCACTTGTTCTGGTAGTTAGATCAATAACGTATATTGGTATTTTAAACTAAAATCTTATGACTAAAAGGTTTTAGAATGCAATATCACCCAATTTTCTTTCATATATCTATGTACTTATAGATATTTATGATAATATAATATTGAAATATAAATAAACTCCACTCTCAAATGGAAATGACTGACGAAAGAATGATCTTAAGCTTTTCTGGTACACCAGATTTGAAGAAATAGATTTATATATTTTCAAAAGAAAAAAAAGTTTTATAATCTTCAAATGGACTCAAGAGGGTTGACCTTCTGTTCATTAATTTGATTTGATCTACCTATGATTAAATCTGAACTAGCCAGTCCTCATTTATATAGAAGTTTTGAATTTATTTTTGAGTTTTATAATTATAGTTAAGATTCTTTTTTTTCTTATAAGCAACTCTGCTTTAGGTGAAACGAGAAGCCAGATTTTTATAATTTAGGAGTAATTTGTAGTCCAAAACACAGCAAAAAGTTGAATATTTTATATGTTAAATTTTTATTTACATAATAAAAAACATATGTTGTTATTTTTCCATACAACCGTTGTTCTAACTTGCGCAAAATGGAATTATTATCATTTTAGTTTGTTTGCTTTTGACTTTCATTAGAGTACTTAATATACATGTTTATATGTCAAACTATTGTTTACAATTTGTTTTTGATCAAAAACAAAAATTGCTTACAATTTAGAAAATGTTTTTCCATAGACAACCATCATTCTTCACTTGAAGAAAATGGAAATGCATTTTTTTTTTTTGCTCGTTTGTTTGCGTTTTACTTTTGGATTTACAATTTATAAGAAATGAAATGTTGGTAAACAATGTTAAATCTATCATTTATTGCATACAAGAAAAAATAATTATCAGCTAAACACAAATTATAATATTTTGACGTCATAAAAAACAATAAATACGTTGAAACTTATATATACACATACATAGACAAATAGAAGTTAAATAATGACTAACTAGATGATAATGATCACCATGCGCGGAGTTAAATTTTTTAAAAGATGTGTATTTAAATACATATTTTTTTATTAATAATATTTTTTATATTTGATTAGGGATGGACATTCGGTTCGGATAATCCATTTTTTTTAAATTAAAGTTCATATATACTTTAAATTTCTCAAAATCTAAAATTTAAAATAATATAGAACATATAAATTTTGAAAATGAATGCCAAAATACTAAATTAACAAAAAATTGGTTTATCTTAAATATTTAGACAAAAAATCAATGAATATTTCAAGTATTTTTGGTATTTGGAATATCGTTTAGCTGTTTTAAAAATGAACATTTAACTATTCTATATATTTCTAAGTATTTTGGAAAATTTTGTGTATTGTTAGATGTTAAATTTAAAAATTATTAATATATTTAAGTATATAAATCTGGTTCGAGTACACTCCGGTATTTCAAATATTTCGATTCAGTTTCGTTCTCGAGATACCAAAATTTTGAATCCATGTAGATAACTAACCAAATTTGATTAAAAATATGTACTACTTTTTGGATTAGATTTGGCTTGGTTATTTGGATTCAGTTTTTTTGCCCACTCCTATATTTTTTATTGTAACAAAATTTTAAACGAAAGGGATGATGGTTCATATTGATTTTGGGTATGCAACAATTTTTTAAATCAAAACACACTCTATTATGTACGTGGTCCATTTAGTTAATCATTAAAATTTGTTTAAGACCCATTGAAAACGATTGGCTGAATTAAAAAATGTTATTATTGACCACAAAATTTTCAATGTGAGATTTTTAAAATTTTTTTATTTTTTTAATTAATGTGATTGTTTAATTGCTTTTAATAATATAAAACTAAATAAAAAGTAAAGAGGAAAAAATTTATTATCAAAAATTTATTATTCATAATCATTAATTGTGATATATATATATATGTTATATATATATATATATATATATGTTAAGCATATTAGGTAATTCCGTATCTTTTATTTAAGAAAATAATATAAAATATTTTTTGGAACACTACTAATTAAATATGATAGTTAGTTTAATAAAATATAACATATGTTTAGTTAGATCAACATATTTTTCTAAAAGTTCTGAAAATCATTTTCATTGTGACACATGGATATCAAAAAATGTTATAATTTTCCAGGACTAATACATAGGGGATTCTAGTAGTGATTTTTTAGGATTGGTGCTTAACATAAATGACGAGTGTTAGGCCAGAAGAGCTTTAGATATGGACTACCTAACAGTAGTTTCACTTAATTAAGAAAACTATGTTAGGCTTGACTTATTACAATATAAAGAGTGTTTATAGGGAAAAAAAAAAAGAGAAAAAAAGAACAAAGTAAAACTGAGAACATGGACATCCTCCAGCAGAGCTACCTGCCTTGTGAGAAAAAAAAAGCATTAAAGTCTCACCCACACAAAGTTGCTTCATCTTTTTCTACACTTCATACCACCAAATCGCAAATCACCAAACGCTAAACGCAAAAATTCATAACTCAGAACTCTGCTTTCGGTTACCTAATTATCTGTGGACGCCCTCACCGTAAACCTTCACCAACCCAAATTTAATTCTTCTGTGTTTTTATTCACAAAGTACAAAAAACAGACAGATAATAACATCTCTCTCTCTCTCTCTCTCTCTCTCTCTCTCTCTCTCTCTCTCTCTCTCTCTCTCTCTCTCTTCTCTGTCGCTTCTTCTTTCTCCTTCTTCCCTCTGTGATTCATTAGTTGCGTAAAACCTCGAGTACCTTCTGTTCCATTAAAACAATGAAGTACATTCGAAGCAACAGCCTGAAACGTCTCTTCTCCTTCAAACGCCGCAGTTTCGACTCCGACTCTGAAAACTCAACTCCACACGCCAAATGCGTCGAGAGTTTTCAAGAAACAGAGCAGTTTCAAAGACCCAAGTGGAAATGTTTCTCCTTTGAAGAAATCTACGAGGCAACCAACGGTTTCAGCTCAGGTTCTGTCTCCAAATTCAAGAAACTTTGATTCTCATTTCTCTCTCTATGATGTCTTTCTTTCACTAATAAAGGTTTTGTTCCTTTGCAGAGAACTTGGTAGGAAGAGGTGGATTTGCAGAGGTGTATAAAGGGGTTTTGAGTAAAAGTGGTGAAGAAATTGCTGTGAAGAGGATAACGAGAGGAGGGAGAGAAGACGAGAGGAGAGAGAAAGAGTTTCTAATGGAGATTGGAACAATAGGACATGTCTCACATCCTAATGTCTTGTCTCTTCTTGGTTGTTGTATTGACAATGGTCTCTATCTTGTTTTCATCTTCTCTTCCAGAGGCTCTGTTGCTTCTCTCCTTCATGGTACCAAACCCACAACCTTTAAAGTTATGAACATTTGATGCTTTTCTTGAACATGGTTTCTGCAAATTTTGCTTAAAGATTTGATGCTTTTATGATGCTAATTGGTGTTTTTTTTTTTGCTAATTGTTTTGTTTTGTTTTGTTTTGAAGACTGTTTTTAATATATTGTGTATTTAGATTTGAATCAGGCACCATTGGAGTGGGAGACAAGGTATAAAATTGCAATTGGGACAGCAAAAGGGCTTCATTATTTACACAAAGGTTGTCAGAGAAGGATCATACACAGAGACATTAAATCCTCCAATGTTCTCTTAACCCAAGATTTCGA